TACAATCATAAATCGTTCCAATTACATTTAGACTAATAGGAGCGGAGTTAATTAATACGTTTAATATTTTTTCTCCCAACGCCATCATTCTTTTTTCATATGTTATATCTTCATCCAAATAATAGTTGTTATACTTTGCTAATATTAATAGCTTCAACTTTTGGCAAGTCATCAGTAAATGTTCAAGTTCAATGATATGGTCGTCTGATGTGATAAACACGGGTGATAGATATTCAATTAAAGAACAATTTTCACGAACGGTACGAATAAATGTAAGGGATTCATCATGGTAAAAGATTTCAGGTTCACAGATAAAAATTAGTTTGAGACGTCCTCCGCTGTTTCTAATCAAGCAATTAACCGTGTTAATCGTAATATAATCTATTTGAAGGACTTCAAGATGTTGAAATCTCGAAGTTTTCAAATGATATTCAAGGAAATCTGTAACGACGTTTAGTATTAATACCTTTAAATTATGAAATTCTGGAAGTACCTTTGATAATTTGTTGGCAAAATATTCAATGTTGTTTATAAAATAAATAAGGGTGTCTGCATTTTTCTTTAAGGCCGAAGAAATTTTCATATAATAATCATCTAATACATTCGAATAATAACGTCTAAATCATCATACCATTCAAAATATTTTAAATTTCTCTGAACTTCAATTAAACAAATAACTCCATCATTGCCTTTTGAGCTTGAATTATCAATAAACAGCCTTTGTATAGATTGACAGATCCGTGCTATTCCATAAAAGTATGCGGATTCCATGATCGTATCGCATTTTAATTCACACAATGATTGGAGAAGATTTGTTGATTCTGGAAATATAAATATCTGGTGTTGAAGTGATCTCATATCCAAATATTTTAACTTTTGGCATTTACTCATATGAGACCATAAATTTCTTGTTGAAAATACAATTGATCACTGGCTGAAGAAGAGTAGATTAAAGACATCTTGTTTATAGCACTTGCATTAATACATCTGCAAAATGACGGATAATCAAATAAAAGTGGTCGGCGTGAGAATTGGACGTTACTGGTTAAAAATTCTTCACTATTGTCGTATAAAATCAAGGTAAAGATGTTGTACGATAAATTTATAATTCGATTACTTTTTGAAACTATATTTGTAGGGTACCAAGGATCCTTCCATAAGATCGGAACCACAGCCTCACACCAAAGTCTATTGACTAATAGGCATGAAAAGAGGGAGTTTGTATCGCCTTGTAATTCTTCAAATATCAAATAAAGAATATCTTTACTAAGCTTTGACATTTTTTT